TCCCCCCGCCCCCCGGCCTCCTCCAGCCCCCGCGGGACGGCTCTACACGGGCTTCATGCCGCAGGGCCGGGGCCGCACTCCTGCCACGGGAGCCCCCGTCTCTGTCCTCGAGACGTCGCGGCCGTGGGGGCCTCCTTCTCCTGGAGTCAGAGACACTGCAGAGGGCAGGCGACGGAAGGGGGGCCCGTCCTCGGAACGGAGGAGAAGGCGACAGTCTGCACAGCTCACCGATGCCGGACCCCGTTTGAGGCCCCAGCCGGAGGACATCCCGGGGAGAGCTGAAGGGGAGGGGCGTGAACACGGTCCGGAAGCCGCATTTGTGCAGAAACGCGGGGTCTTGCGGTGTCTTTGCGTCCCCACGCTAAGCTCCGCTCCACGCTCCGTGTTCCGTATCTGAGAGGGGATGGTTGTGGCGTTGGAACTCTCACTTAAGCTTTGCAGAACCCGGTTTCGCTAAGTTCTTGTTGAGTTGCCTGACGAGACACTGTTTTTACAAAGAGCGATGGTTTAGGACGTCTCTTAGCCAGGCCTAGGATCACAGCCGGTCCGGGTGTTCTCAGGCAGTTAACTTCTCCAAGCACACTGAGACGGAGCCCCCGTATCCGTCTGGCCGCGCTGCCTGCTGCCGTTTCGCGTCTTTCGGGCAGAGGGAGACCCGCCCGGCAGCGGTCGGGACGGCCCCTCTTCGAGCCGACTCCCTCACTGCCCAGCCTGGAAGCAGCGGTTCCTTCCTTGAGGCCACCCTGCTCTGATTGTTCTGTTCTTGTTTTTTTCCTTATTTTTCTTAATGCTCATTTACTTTTGAGAGAGAGAGACAGAGTGTGAGCGGGGGAGGGGCAGGGAGAGAGGGAGACACAGACTCGGAAGCAGCTCCAGGCTCTGAGCCGTCAGCACAGAGCCCGACGTGGGGCTCGAACCCACCGACCGCGAGATCGTGACCTGAGCCGAAGCCAAGAGTCGGACGCTTAACCGACCGAGCCCCCCAGGCGCCCCTCTGACTGTTTGTAAATACGATTCGCATACCAGAAACTTCTCGCTTTTAGAAGATAGAGTTGAGGGGCCTTTAATGTACCACAAGGTTGTGCCCCTGCCTCAGCCCAAAGTATTTTCATCCCCCAAAAAGAAACCCTGATGAACCATTACTTCGATAGGATTTTTGTCCTTAATTTTGATGGAGTGTATTGTAACTTTGTAAGAATATCAACAAGTGGTTAATGTGTGGAGAAGCTGTGCAAAACGTGGGTGACCCCAGACTCTGAAGCCTGGTAGCGCCTGGGCAGAGGTGCCCACGGCCGTCAGAGGAGTTGCTGGCACCTGAAGTGTAGGCTGTTGGGCTGTGAAACCGTCCTCCCGTTTACGACCAAGTTCAGCTCTGGTTAGTTTCCGGGGCTTTGCTGGTACTGTTGCCCCTGTCCTGACTGTGCTTTGTTGAAAATGGAAACCCCCAGTCCTCTGTGGCTATTTAAACATAAATGAAGGAAAAGGAAAAGTCCCATCTGTCCGTGGCACCGGCTGCGTCTCACTCACAGTGCTTGACGGCCACGCGGCGTGGGCCACTCACGGGGCCCCGCAGAGCGAACGCCCGGCAGGAGGTCTGGGCAGAGGCGCGGAAGGTGGTGGGGCCGCCGGGGGCACGTCTGTGGCGTTTCGCCTTCTCGCTGTTGTGACTGGGAAAATGAACTAACCCGCGGTTAAGGATGGCCTTGCAGAGTACCTCCCGTCGGGATGCCCGCCGTGTCTGCGGCCCAGCTCGCAAACGTGTCCCTTCTCTTCACGCAGTGCATGGACAGGAGCATCGCGTTAACTCAGGCACGCTACCTGGAGAAAGAGGAGAAGTGCCTCCCTCCGCCGAGGTGGGTGGACGTTCAAATGTGACGTGACTCTTGCTTTTGCTACTTGAAAAACTCTATAAAGCGTATTCTGTCGTGAAAACGTCTGAAATGCTGCCACCGGATAAGGAAGTGTGTCCCTAAAATGTAGTTCATCCTCTTTCCCGTTCTTAAAGTAGCCATTTTCAGATTTTACCTGTAAAGCCCCCCCAGGACTCGCCGGACCCTCCCAGTTAACCTAAAGAGGTATCCGTGATCCCAGGACTGGACGGGGGCGGCCGAGGTTCTGATGAGCAGATGTGCGTCTGTCACACCTCGAAGGTGACGGGCTGTGCCAGCCACGTCCACCGGGAGGACCATCCTGAGGGAGGGGCACATCCGGCCGCTGGCTGGAATGCCATGGGGTGCATTTGGGAGTGCAGACACTCCCAGACCGCCCAGGGAAAAAGAAAGCAACAGTGGGGAAAATCTAGACAGGTTCAAGAAACCCAACGTGGGGGGAGGGCACCTTGACTCTTGGTTTACAATCGGTGCTCTTCAGTAGCACTTAAAATATAGTCAAAGGAGGTAGACGCCCAGAGCATGAAGTGTCACGGTCACAGCATGAGGTCTGTGAGGTCACAGGGGGAGGGCACGATTCGTTCTGGCCTGGAAGGGACTCGGGCTTCCGAGGGCAGGTGATACTTAAGCCAAGCCCAGAAGATCGAGTGTGTCAGGCAGACTTGTCAACGCCGGCGTCCGGCGGGCTGTGCAGTGGTGTGGAGACCCTCAGGTGCATCTGGGGAGACAGAACACAGGCTTGAGGGAGACGGGAGAGACGCTGGAGAGCAGGGAAGGCCCAGGGAGGACCCGGGAGACCGGAGTCTGAGCCTGTGCAGACTTGGAGGGCCAGACCACGGGCAGCAGCCCTGAATGGCTTAATGAGCCTACCCCGTTCTAATTGCACCCAGGCAAGGTGCGGTCTTCTGTCTCAGGACAACAGGGTCCCTGCTTGCTTTGTTTCCTCAGCGCTCCCTGCCCAGCACAGTGCAGCTCAGTGCAAGTGCCCAGTGGACCGTCCGGAATTTTGCAGGGGGGGTGGGAGAGAAGAGGGAGGAGTGCCCAGGAGAGCCGATGCTGTCTTGTGTTCAGTTTCCTGAAAACTTAAAGATGTCTGCCTTGCCTCCGAGTATTCTAGCACTTCCACACGACTCACGGAGTCGTAAATGTGAGTGTCAGCACGTAAACACTCCCTGGTTTGAGAAACGTGAATTCCTGCCTTGGGCCCGGTGCTCCTCAGGCAGAGCCCCCGGCACCCAGAGCCCCCCCACAAGGTTGCAGTCGGGCCTCAAGTCACAGACTTCTGAAAATGGCCCGTCAGGGTTCGGGCTTGCGGGCGGAGGGTCCCTGCCACAGTCGCTCGGCTCTGCCATGCCGTGACAGGTGGCACAGCCTCCTTTGACGATTTTCTGTGTCCTTGTTTCTCAGCATCAGGGTCGTGGTCACAGTGGAACAGACAGACGAAGAACTGGAGAGAGCCGCACGCACAATCAAGGAGGTGGCCCAGGCCGTGCTGCTGTAGGCGGGTCCCAGGGCCAGGTGGGCAGTCGCCGTGCGGCACGCGCAGGCCTCCCAGTTGCCGCCGAGCAACCTGGAAGAGGCCTGCGGGTACCTGGCAGGGTTGCCGCCGAGCAACCTGGAAGAGGCCTGCGGGTACCTGGCAGGGTGGCCACCGACCGATCACGTGGGTGTGGACTCGGCGACCGCCACGAGGAGGATACTGGTTATTTAAACACACACACGCACACACACGCACACCTAAAAGCCCAGGAACTGGTTTTTTAAGAAGAAAACTAATGACAGCATATAACCGATATTTAAATTGTGCGGTTTAGTACTATTTAAATGTTTTATTATACTAGTATTTTATATTCTTTTGTTGTTGCCGTTTAAAAATGGAGCTTCAGTTTATCTTTTGTCCCTCTAATAGTAATTGTGCGAGCACTCCTAACGTTTCCTAGCAAAGCATCTCTGCAGCATTAAAGCTTAGGGGAGCACTTCACCGTCTAGGACACAAAACGTATCTGTGAGGATCTAATTCAGCCACGTCTTAACGCAGTCTCCATCCTGTGAAGCCCAGTGGTGGCTAATGTATAAGGAAGCACTCTTTGTGCTGTTGCGACAAACTTTTCATTATATTTGAATCCTAGAGTTTTGATATGCATTTCTAACAGCTTACCTTAGCATCCCTAACTGGAGAATTGTATTTCCTAAGTGAGCAATAATTTAAATCAAATACTATTTTAGTTTAATATAATTGACCTTCACATTTATTGTGTGTTGACTTCTAATCTGTTTTAGGAGGAGGGTTACTGTGACGATCCCAGAATAGAAATCATGTCCTTGATATTTTAGAATATCTTGAATGTATTCCTTTTTTGTAGAGTGGGTTTGCCTAAGGACATATAACTACTGTCTTTTTCTAAGCGAAGGAAAATTATTTTTATTTTCAGCTTATGAATTCCAAATATCTAAAAATGTGAATGCACTAAAAATAAAATTTTTAAGCTGGACTTTAGCTATCTGTTTTTTCTTGTGCCGCGTGCCACAAGGTAGTGTGTAAATATTACACCGTTGTTTCTTCTCTTAGTAAAGGTAAAGGAGTAAAATAGTTAAAAAAAAAAAAAGTAATAATGCCATTTTTATAATATGTGTTCATATTAACAAATGGTCTTCAACATCTTTTTAAATAACATATTTTTTAATGTTTAGTTTCTATTTCCTTGAGGTATTTCGTACATATGTGCCTTGTGATTGCTGCTGCTTTAAAGGATACAGTACTGTCTTTGGGGGATGTATCTTTTCGTTATATTTCTTAATGAAATAAACCTACATTCCCGACAATCAGTCTATATGCATGTGTAATGTGTTCAACAGAATAGCCTCTGGATTTTCACTTTTCCACATAGGTAGGGTAGTAGTCTTGGTGTCTGTGTTTAGAAAATATTAACTACAGGGGCGCCTAGGTGGCTCAGTCGGTTAAGCTTCCAACTTTGGCTCAGGTCATGATCTCACGGTTCGAGAGTTCGAGCCCCACGTCGGACTCTTTGCTGACAGCTCAGAACCTGGAGCCTGCTTCAGATTCTGTGTCTCCCTCTCTCTCTGCCCCTTCCCTGCTCGTGCTCTGTTTCTCTCTCAGAAATAAATAAAAACATTTAAAAATAAAAAAAAATTAAAAAAAAGGAAGAATATTAAGTACATTTCTTAGTGTCTTTCTTCAGTGTATGTTATCTGGAATTCCCTAGACTTCTATTGATGGGAGCCTAGGCCTCTATGACTACACGTATGCCAGAGCTGTGGGGTTTTTCTTTTAATAGAGAGAGAGGGAGAGTGCGAGCAGAGGGAGAGAGAGAGAATCTTAAGCAGGCTCCACGATCAGTGTGGAGCCTGACGCAGGGCTCAGTCCCGTGATCCATTTTGACCTGAGCCAAAATCAAGTTGGACACTCAACTCACTCAACTCGGGGTGCCACCCAGGTGCCCCAGAGCTATCATTTTTATTAGCAGATGATGATAGCAACTTTTCAGCTACTTTTAAAATATTTTGTAAATCAACATCCAGATGTTCATTGCTACTTTTTAAAAATGATAGAAGTGCCTGGGAAAGATGGTGAAAACAACACATGTTGTCTGACATCAGCCCTTGAAACATAGCAGCATTTTGAACAAAAACCCAAAACCAAAGTCTTTCTGTTAAAACTGTACAATAACCAGCATCCAGGTACATGCACCACAAAAGAAACATATGCTAGGAACAGTAAACTTGCATAAAACTGAGGCAGAATGCTGAGAGAAAACTCCCCTCAAACCTGAAGCAGGGCACATATTTCTCCCAAGAAACCACAAGAGGGCTCTGGAACGCTCCGGCGGCTGGGGTGGGCAGCACGGAAACCATTTGGGGACCGTGTTCATTCGGCATCGTTATCCACAGGAGAGGAAGTACCCAAACAACTCCTCCCTTTGTGTTGTCTACAGCTGGGTTCCAACTCAGGAAATGTGGGGCTCTGAGCAAGCTGGGACAGAAACGAGAGCGGTATTTCCAATCTAGAACTGCACCAACGGGACTGTATGCTTTTGTTTTATGAACCACTAGGACGGCTCTGTAATATGCCAGTTGTAAGATGCATTTCAGTAACAAGTATCGTCACGTGGGTGGAAAAGGTACATCTTAAAATCTGCAGGATAAGTCAAATGATCTGCTGATGTGCGGGCTTGATGCCCTCTTTCCTTGTGGATGTAAAACCTTTGTGTCCCAGAACACAGTGTGTGAGGACGATTATGGCCACCTAGTCTTCCATTATCTCCACCCTTCCAAAACATTGTCCTTATGAGGACATCAAACAAAACCACCCATTACCCACACCCACAGTACGGATTATGCTGTAGAGAATACGTAAGCTTAATTTTCCTATCTAGTGCCTAGTAGAGAGGAGAACAGGGTAGGCGGCTAAATGATGACGGAACACACGTAAAGCAAAAAGTCGTCTTCCAGAAGCAACATGCAAAAGGAAAACAAAAGGGGAGCAGCCTTTTCAAGAGATTCAAGGGAAAAAGAAATGTGAATCAAATATCCAGAAAAGCTGTCTTTCAAGTAAGAAGTTGGTAGAAAAACAATTTAAAATAAGAGCTCGGTACTATGTTCATAAGCCCTTCTGAGGAATCTGCTACGGGGAAGCTCCATCAAATCAAGAAGTCGCTGGGGAAATGAGAAGAATTAAGATAGTAAACTAAGAACTATTCTTTTTTTTTTTTTTTAATTTTTTTTAACGTTTATTTATTTTTGAGACAAAGAGAGACAGAGCATGAACGGGGGAGGGGCAGAGAGAGAGGGAGACACAGAATCGGAAACAGGCTCCAGGCTCCGAGCCGTCAGCCCAGAGCCCGACGCGGGGCTCGAACTCACGGACCGCGAGATCGTGACCTGGCTGAAGTCGGACGCTCAACCGACTGAGCCACCCAGGCGCCCCACTAAGAACTATTCAACACAGAAGAAAGCAGTAAAGTACAGAGGTGCAAAAATAAATAGCAAAAACCCAACCATATAGAGAATTACGTTCAAAGGTGAATGGGCAAAACATTTCATTCAAAAGGCTGAGCTTAGCAGGCAGACTAAATTTTTTTTTTAAAAAACCTGTGCTGTCTGTAAGAAACTTCACGTTCAAAGACACAAGTAAAGATGAAAAGTATGCCATGCAAACAACCGTGAAAGAGCTGGAGTGACCTGTATCAGTATCAGAAAGAACTTTCAAGAACTATCACTACAGACAAACAGAGACGTTTCGGAATGATAACAGTGTCACTACATAGTGAAACCCCAACAATTATAAGTGTATATATGCTCCTAAACACAGAGTCCTAAAATACATGAAGCAAAACTGGCATAATTGAAAGAATAATTTATCATAGTTGGAGATTTGAAAAAGCCCACCCTAAATAAGTGAGAACAAGAAAGAAAATCGTACGTAAAGAAGTCCTGAACAGTACGGTCAACTGACTGGAGCAGACCTATTTACGTTTGTAGAACATCCTACTCAGAAATTCCAGAATACATAGTCTTTTCAACCGCACGTGAAAGTCTTCAGGGCAGATCACATGCTGGGCCATAAAACCAGGCTCAATAAATTTAAAAAGATTGAAATCATAAAACCTATGTTCTCTGTCCACAACACAATTAAATCAGATCTGCAATAGAAAACCGGAAGAAGGGCTCCTGGGTGGCTCGGTCGGTTAAGTGTCCGACTTCAGCTCAGGTCATGACCTCACGGTCCATGAGTTCGAGCCCCGCGTCGGGCTCTGTGCTGACAGTTCAGAGCCTGTAGCCTGTTTCAGATTCTGTGTCTCCCTCTCTCTCTGCCCCTCCCCTGCTCATGCTCTGTCTCTCTGTGTCTCAAAAATAAATACACGTTAAAAAAAATTTTTTTTTTAAAGAAAGAAAACCGGAAGAACCCCAAATACCTAAATAACTCATGGATCAAAGGAGAATCACAAAGGAAGCTTCTTAAACGTTCTGAACTGAATAAATATAACAGCAAAATTTATGTGACACAGCTAAAGCAGTGGTTAGAAGGAAATGTGTAGCTTTAAACTCCCGGATTAGAAAAGAAGAAAGGTTTCCAATTAATAACTTCAATTTCCACCTTGGGAAAGTGGGAAAAGGAGAGCAAACTGAGCCTGAAGGAAAGAAAGAAAGAGAAGAAATCAATGAATAGAAAACAGAAAAATAGTGGGCTTCTGCGGCTTAGTCAAGCTGTCGTCCACTTCACAGGCCACGATCTCGTCCCAGGAGTCTCGAGCTCCCGACTGCAGCTCCCTGGCGCCAACGGCCTGAGCCTGAGCCTGCTTCATCTCCTTCTGTCTCCTCTGCCCTCCCGTCATGCTCTGTCTCTCTTTGTCCAAAATAAATAAACGTTTAAAAAAAAATTTAAAAAAAAAAAAAGAAAACAGAAAAATAGAGAAAATTAATGAAACGATTGGCAAGTACTTGTTGGACTGGCCAAGAGAGTAACAGAAGACACAAGTTACC